CTGGGTGGACTGGGAAGTACCAGAAATACTATCCTTATGTCAACAAGAAGAAGAGAAGAAAGTAAAGCAGCAAACAGAAATGTGGCGTCTCCCTATTACAATTAAGGTGCAAATGAAAAGAAAATGATATGTAATACATAGAGGTAATAAAGGTTGAACCAAAACATACTCATGTTTTTGTGATAACCGTGAACTTGCCCTTGTCAAAGACTTAAACTTAAACTTGCAAGATCTCCAAGCTCTTCCCCCAACTAAAGGCAGAGCGTTTCTTTGGCTGCCAGTTTTCGGAATAAGGTCTAACTATAACCTTGTTACATATACCTTGTTCGATACTTTTCTCTACCACCATCACCTTTCTGTTTGAAAACCTATTTACTGTGTGGGAAGAATTTGATTTATTTGGGGGTAAATTGGACGAAATAAGACAAATCATCAACCATCAGTTATTTCCGTAGCAAAACGAAGAAAGCTGGTTAACTATCTCCCTCCTAGAAAGAAGTATTTTCTTCCTACGATATCAAATAATACAAGAGGCTGCCAGCATTTTTGCCTTATTCCTCTAAGTCATCTCGTGTCGATCTGTCAACTTTCAGGCCTAAATAACTGCAGGACACACGATGTTGCAATGAAAATTATACCAGCACAAAAGCGTTTAGGATAAAATAATTCGCTCTCTTCGTTTTTTCCATGATTCCCATTCTATTCTGTTGGCTTCATTCAATAATTTGGTCAGAAGGTTCCAGTCCTAACCTAAAAGCGTGAAAAACTTGGAATATTGATAATCATTTAATGTCATGATCTCTCTGAGAATTGTGTCATTATAACCCTCGCTAGCTAATTATATGACAACCTCTGCGTGGTAATAGCACCAAGAAAAATAAAGTTTCCCGAGAAAGAGATCGTTCTACAGTCACATTTGCCATGATTAGCTTCAGATTGGTCCTTTTACCGTGGTGTTGTTGGCTGTAAAACTGAAGTAGCGTTCCAGTCAATAGCGAGGCACGTTACTACATAATGCTCAGTAAGGAGTTCGATTGAAGTCATCATTTTCTTGTCGCTCTCTGGTGCTTGATAGTGTAGGATGCAAGGCGCAGTTGGACCTCTTGATCTGTTTATTGAACCGCTCCTCGTTTCTTTTACGTTGTTAACAGCCCCCATTTCAAACGTAAGTTATTCACAGGTCAAGGCCGGTTTCTGTTCTCTCAAGTATGATGTTAAATCTAAGTACTTGGCGTGTTGCAGAGAGATAGAGAAAGGGAGCATAGAAACTCAATTATACCNGTTGTTCGGCAATATAAACTGTCGGGGATCCAACGAAATGTTATTGGTGCCGTAAAAACGAAAATAAGTAATTCAGCACAGAGTATAATCCAGACCCCTAGTAATGAAGTTACAGTTTTCGTTCGAGTGAATAGCAACGAATATTTACTTGGTTTCACGACGCAGAAATATCGATTTAGTGAGGCTAGAGTCAGAATGGAAAGTGACACTTGAACCCAGTATTGTACTACAAATCCAGTGAGCTGACAGAAGTTGTGTGCAAAAATCCATTTTCGCAATCCAGAGGCGGTCACTTGGAAAGGAAAGCTTAACATAGCCATCATCATGTCGACCAAAGCAAGCGATGCGACGTAGAAATTTGTTATAGTGCGTAGTCTTCTGTTTCTGTACAACGCGTAAATAATGAACGTGTTTCCAATGAATGACAAGACCATTGCGAAAGCTAGAATTGAAGTGTGAATAACGACTGCTTCAGTGTCTCTTGAGTCCTCCTCCGAATTCATTTTTCTTCAGAAAGTTTCGACAGTGTTGGCTTAGCCTTCATAAAGAATCTTACCATGTTAAACTACTTGCTTTGCTGTTGGACGTTTGGATGAATTTAAGATATGTTCTTTGTAACACAGTGTAAATTCTGCTTATACAGTACACCTGCCAATACAGTTTTTTTTCCATGTCAGATGATTGATGACTTCTTCGACAGTCATAAGCTATGTCCCAAATGAAGTTTTCATCAAGCTACATGAATGTATCATCAAGTTAATGTTAACAAATAGCCACTAGAAGAGCATTAAACCCAATCAGCGTTGTCCTCAAGATTGAAACGCAGGAATCCATGCGGTTGCCCATAACTGTCACGGAAGAAGACACAGACCCGCGGTAAAAAGAAAAGACTCACGGCAAGAGAAAAATTCCCACGGCAAAAGGAAAAATACTCACGACGAAAGAAAATTCCCTACGGTAAAAAGAAAATTACTCACGGCGAAAGAAAATTTCCTACAGTAAAATAAGAAAAACCTCACGGCAAGTAAGAAATAAGCTCACTGTCACCTTACGAATCGTTTAGTTTACGTTTGTTTGCATAGAATGAATCAGACTGAAAAATAAGAGGAAGTTTTTCCTCACAAACATCTTTAGTGTTTACATAAAAAATAGATAACAGCTTTTGCGCGTCAACAAAGTTTCAGATAGCAAGTTAATAGTACATTCTGCTTTAATCCAAGTTTTTAAGGATGAGATTGTTGAATGCCCGATATATCTGGCGCGGACACCGTTTATCTTGTCGTCGTTGATCGAAAGTTCCCTTCGCGATGTGACACAGACAAAATTTAGTCATTGTACACATGAAATAATAATGAGACGGAGTTATTTGTTTCGTATGTAAAATAAATTGAACGTATAGGATTGAAAACATTCGTGGTTGCTTAAGTTATGTGAAAATATTGGAAATAAAGGATAATCGACCAGGTATACAGATTATCTCAAATCAAATAATCGTGTAAACTCAAGTGCAAAAATTACAACCGGGAAACCGCGAATAGCACGATATGTTGCGAGGCCCTCTAAAGACCCCGAC